GGGAAATGTTTTTAAAATTATGGTTTAGTGTATTTTGGAATTTTATTAACTAACATGTAATTCTTTTTGATTGTTATTTATTTAAATAGAAGAATCACACATCTGTAGAAACTACAACACATGTTTTAATGAGTAAATAAGACACATTTATCACTACAGACTAAAATCTACGCCACAATCAAACTGAATAATTTAATTATCTATCCAATTTACCGAAACCATAAATTTAAAATATTTTCACACACAACATCACCCTACGTAATGGATTGAGCGGTGCGCGAGGTCGCCCTTATTGCACTAAACACCGAACTTACGCGGATTACACGCTTCAAACAAACGGAGCTGCCGTACGAAGTTTTGACTAGTTAGTAGAGAGTACGCCTTGGATATTGTGACTGTAGATTTAATTTCCAAATTTATAGGGAAACAAACATTTGGGAGACTGATGAAGTTTTCAACATTGGGCCAGATAAGTTGTAATGGCCTTCCTTTTCTGTATAAATTCTATCCAAGAAGGGATATACTACTGACTATGAATTCTGCTCTCCATGTCATAACTAACGTATTTGCAGTTCTGTAACTTTCTAGATACTGGCACCAAAATTTTTTGCTACTAAAACCAGTAAATAAAAATAAAAATAAAAATTTATAGGAAATGAAACAATTTTTCTTTTTGCCCTTTACAGGGACCTATAAAGGGCCCGAAACGTTGGTTTGTTTGAAAAAACAAATTACGTATTTTAATTTGGAAAAATAGTTTCATTTCCTATGTGTAATAATCGCGAAAACCTAAGAATTCAATAAAAAAATATTTAAAAGGAAAGACAATTTGGCTTAACCTTTTAACTGAAAAACACTAGTTTCGGTCCCTTGACGCCACGCTTATATAGTGATGCGACATGTTATGAATTTCCACAAGAACATAACTGAACATAAAATGCAACTATGAATCCATACTTAACTAGAATATTATACAAATAACACAAGAAATATCTTAATATTTATTAATTACTTTCAATTGAGAATAAAGGGTTTCACTAGCGCTTTATAGGGTCATTGGCGTATCAGCCAAGTTAATGTAAGACGCTTTAAAGCGTTCACGACGGTCAAAGGGTTAACAATAAAACTGAACCAAATAAGATATAAAAAAATCGTTTAAAGGTGATTCTAGATTCCAATAACTTAATTTCTCTAAAAATGTTATGTTACGTTAGTTATGATAAAGAGGATAGAATTCAAGAGGCAGTTCTTGTAATCGTTAAATTAGTCACGGTTTAAAAAAAAATGCACAAGCGTCTTTTACAATCAAATATAAGTTATATTGACGACCTACGTGATCGAGTGGCTTGCACACCGATTTTCATGGTGTCGCCATCTCTGAGGTTCCGGGTTCGATCCGGGCCGGGCCAATGTAGAAAAAAAACTAACTTATCTATATTGTCTCAGGTCTGGCCGTTTGTAGTATGGTTTGTTCACCTTAACACAAGTGCTTCAGTTACTTTGGGAGCAACGTATGTGTTTGTTGTCTAATATTTGGGTAATTTGCAGTTCAAAATATGATGACTTCTATAATATCCAAAACGAATCTCGATCAAGGCATAAGCGTCAAATATCACTGCACACTACTAATTTCAGAAAAATAGCGAATGCCACACCGCGTCCAATATACCTAATTGACGATATGTCGAAAAAAAAAACATTACCGACGGGCGACCCCCTCACTGCAACGAAATGACATAACATATATATAATTAATTTTACGTTATATTTCTTTCCTACTTACATTCAAAAACTAAACTTAACACAAAAAAGAAAAAATACAATTCTTATTAAAGTTATATTTAAAAAAATAATAACGATAAATGGTATTAAAAAGCAAAAAATAGCAACTGTTACATTACAATCTTTTTAGAGGAAGGATTTATTTTCATAGAGTCAATATGTTTCTTTTTTTTTAATGGTAACATTAGGAGATGGTGTTTCCGCTCGCAATATGGCACATTTATATTTATAAAAAATCAGCTTGAACATTGTTATATTAAGGACCATATGGGTTAATTCAATATACATCTATGTAGGTTTAAGGTGAAGTTGCCTGCTAGAAAGTAGATTATCGTATTGAGGTACTTTCACCTTACTACTTACAAATTAGTAGTTGTTCAGATTCATTTCGAATTACATTATAACGACAAGAAATAGATCATTTTTTATAATAAAGATCTCCTAAAATAGCGTAAGGTAAGTACATAATCCAATCATTTTTTAATAAATTTGTAAATTATAAATAACCGTAAATGAATAATTAATATAATTATGTTAGGGCAACTGTTAGTAACACTTTGTACTTATGGCTATTCCGTTCTTATAACGAAGAAAAAAACATAGAATATATTAATTATAGAATAATAATTCTTTGAAATATTGTTTAAATCAAATACTGCTAAATATGATATTCTGGCGCCGCATTACATACGGCCGAACTCTTTGGACCTTAATTATACTAAAAGCTCCGTATGTAGGATCGCACCTTATTAATACACAGTACACTAAGTTTACTGCAGTCCAATCGAACTATAATCATTCCACAAACCAGTAAAGATTATCTTCTTGTAAAAGTTAAGGTGGCGAAGCAAAATAAACCTTAGCAATCTTTACTAAAGTTTCCAGTGCAGTTAGTGTAACGTATATTAATCAGATGGAACCCTCTATTAAAAAATATTCAAATAACCTAAGTTAATTCTACAGCAAAGCTCTTGCTTTTGTTATTTTTAGTCGAAAATTGTTCTAAAAATTAAAAAAATAGCTGCTAAAATAAGTCATTCAATAAAACAAATAATGTTAATTGTAAAACTATAGGTACGCATGGTACAATGAGATTGGTAAAACTCGAAATACGATTAAGGCAATTTTGCCCGCAAAGTTAATAAGTTTGTCTGTGGGCAAATTTGATTTTTTAGGGCCGAATGTTAAGGTGAATACAATCAAGTGTAGAGAATTTCTTTGCATGCAACGAATATGCCACTATCGTTCTACTACTTTTAGAAATTTTAACAAAAATTGTCTATTTAGCTGCCTATAAAGGAAATAAATTGTACACTATTTTTTAAAAGTGGTAGAACTCGTACACGTACAGAATAAAACCACAATGTTTTACCATACTCTCTTGTACCGATCTGTACATTGGAAGACGTACAATTCGTAAAAACTAAAAATAAACCTAAATAATAATCATTTCAACAAAAAAGAAAAAAGAAACAACGATACGAAAGTTAGGATCATCACAAAACTTTTCTGTAAAAACACTTAAATGTAGAAATAAAAATATATTCTCTGTAATCAAAAATATACAGACATAACGATTTATTCGCAATCGGATAAATTATTTGTGCTACATGACGGAACTAAAATATTTTATGAACTGTGTCTCCGCCATGAGTTTACAATCACAGTCGTCGCTAAAAACCGTGTAAAAAATATATGATAATTTTCTATAGCAAACTGTACAGCGCCCCTACCCGTCCCAAAAAAAGGAACATTTTGTAAACAAGTATTTTACGAGATCCCTAGTGACAATTGTTACTGTAAACTCATGGTACAGGCACTACTTGAATTGTATATTTTTCTATATTCAACATAATTCTTTTAACAGATTGTGTAAATATTATCTTGAATAAATAGAAGAAAAAATTTGGCCTAACTTGAGCACATGCGTCTACCACGGTGATATGCATTACTAAAAACAAAAAACTCATTTTTTTATCTATGTAGAAGTCAAAAGCTTTATGCGTGCTCATTCTACAAGAAACGATAATGCGTGAGCATACGCCTTTAGGTAAATCTGGTCAAATGTATGGGCAAAATTAAATTAAATTTGCCGATTCCAGTTTTACCCATGTATATAAATTTTACCCATTGGCACATCACTAGAAAGGAATAAATCTAGCCTCCAGGTAACCGCAATTCTTTCATGATCCTTAATATAAAATGGTAACACCGCCCGTGTCGGCCGCACTATTCTAATTTCAAAACTTTGCATTTTCAAATTTTTTTTTAAACATTTCCCTTAAACGGGTGCCAATTATGTGACCTATGACAACGAGAATTATTTTGACGTTATTCAATGGATCGACAATTACAACGGATTGTGACTGTCTGTAGATAGAAAAAAAACGTGAAAAATATGTGAGAACAGAATGGAATTACCTGTTTTATTAGAAATGGCAACCATAGCTAATGCTCAGAAAAAAATCTACGTTCAGAAGTATGTGTCTGAATCGTGTACCAAAAAGTGTGTAAGCGAGGGGTGTATACATCTGACGTCCATTTCGTAATAACGACGAGTCTATATGGATTAAAAATTGATGGATCGACATTTAAAATTTAATTTGATTGCTTCTTTAATATTTTGCTAATGGCGCTACATTAATTTAGTAAAGGTCTGCTTGGATACTTAATAATTATATAGTAAATAAATAAATAAATATTTGCCAACTTTAATATAAATTATGATAGAAATCTAACCAGTAGAATTACCACTTCATATTAAATATAATTAAGTCCAACGTTGACTAAGGGGACTACACCAATTCACGAATAAAAAATACCTGCCTTTACTAATTTTTAAAATTCAGTATTAGTAAGACTTAGAAACTTAGAAATTATTAGTTTACAATGTTTAGAAAAAATAGAGTTCCATTTCTCAAAATAAATAGTCGAATAGCCAGAATCTTTAGAACGGGCGGGTCCGTTCGGAAACACCATGTGAACGACAAAATTCTAAATACAACTTGGCATAAAAAGAAAATCGACATTTTATTTATTTACGTTTTCGGCTCCGCACGTCAAATACATTTTTTTTACACTCGTATTAAATATTAATTTAAACAATACATGTATTAAATGTCATGTGAAAACTTCCATAAATATATGAAAAAGGACTTTCAAAATTATCATACGAAAGTAATGCAAATCATAAATTTTATGCCAAGTTGAATTGTAGGTGAAGGATACAAATTAGTGAATCGAAGTACCACTTTATATTACATATATATTTAGGAATAAGCTACACACCACACCCATACTAAAAACGTGTTTGTATGGGACATTCATACACGTGTCAATCGGTACTGAAGCGTCCAGACAAGTAAAGTATAAGTAAGGCTCACACAAAGCGGCGCACTTCCACTGTACACACAAAGAGTTCGTTTAGAATCAAAATGTTTGGGGATTACCCAGAACATCAAACACGCTACATCAATGAATACGTCACGTATTGTGACTGTTATTGTGTGTCACTGTGCGCGAGCGGTTTACTCATATCCCTTAAGTAAAATATTGGTTTCTTTTTAATATTTTAAGCGTCATAAAAAACAGAATCTGTTCGCATTTATTTTTCCTGACTGAAAAACTAACTAATAACATTTTTTTATCATTGGCATTTCTGTGTGACCAAGTTTAAGAGATGTAGCGTATTTGGCTTGTTTGTGCTTTGTTTTGAACTAACTTTAGCAGCCAATACCTGGTATCAAATTAGAGACTTGTACGAGTTCCTGATTAACGAAACGCAAAAACATAAGTGCTTTTGCAAAGATTTGTTAAATTCGTAGTTTAGATCGTCAGTGATTAGTAAAAATAAAGAGATTTTTCAACCGTCTAACCCGAAATTCCGTCTGAAGTTTAGAATCAGATTTCGAAACTCCTGTTATATATTTCTGAAGTTCAGGACTGGGTTTAGAAAATGTATATAACATTTCAACTACAAACATGCTTTCAAGTTAGACGGCTAGGGGCAGATGTGATATAATATTTTAATTGTAAATGAATATATCTTTATGACCACTCATTTATATTATACGATTAAAATTAATTTGTGTGTAAAGAAAAAAGAAATCTTTTATTGCATGTTGCAGTCATATCAGCGCGTGTAATTCAAATGGAGTTTAATTCCGCTACACTGGTTCTTATTATAAGGCAAATACGCTACTCTATGTAAAAACTACCACAGTTGTTATATTACATTCTTCTTTTTTATGGCAAACAAATGGTTTTGAATAAGTGTATGGCGAAGTGTCCATTCAATAATATTATAGTTAGAAAATAAAGTGGTACCTCTGCATTTCTGTATAGAAACGAGAGTGCGGGCTGGAGCGATTCGTCCGGGAGAGAACACTACTACGAATTGTATTGCTGACTTTTTGTGCCGACGTCTTCGTGTCAGAGCGCCCGGGTGGGGCCACATGTGACGTGTCTGTGGGACGAAACATTATGTTCGTTAGTTGACAACAAAATGAAAATTTACGGTCACCCTTTTCAACTTTTCAGCCATGTAGCTGTCCAGGGAATGGTCGTATTTTTAATTTATTCTATAATTGTATGAGTTATACATAATACAGGGTGAAAAAAAAAAACCACTGACCATTTTAAAGGAGCATACTGCATAATGAAATAAAAAATACATGTTCGTTTTTTTTTCAAATATTTAACAAATAAATAAGTTATGACGTCTCAAAGTTTTCCGAAAAATTGTAAACAATATTGATACCCGATGATTAGCAGACGCCGTTGTTATAAGCAATAAGAACGGTGTGGGGCAGTGGGCGGAATCAGCGCGCGAATTCATGTATTTAACAGACAACAAAGTATTAAATTAACGCGCGATATTTTACTAATGTGTTCTATTACTGAATCTTATGCACAGGAAAAAAAATGGCCAGTGATTTTTTATCACCCTGTATAAACGTACATGCCACCCCTCAGATTAAAGGGTAAGTAGCAATATTGGTTTACGCGTGGCGTGCCCCACGCTCGCTCCATCAGTGTGCATACAGGTAGAAATTATAATCCAACGTCACGAGTTGAAACAACATTTCCCAGCCAAATATGAAAGGGAGGATAGGTTTGTTCTTTGGAGGAGGTTGCCAGCCTTCTGATTACCAAAGGCTTCAACGCTCCATACATAATATATTAATTATAGTGAGGTACTATATGGCCCAAGGGACTGGTATAGGTCGATACAAGTCAAGAGACTATAACAGTCCAGGGCGCCTACCCTAACCTTTCAAAAAACAATCTCATTTCAATGTAAGCTTCTAGTAAGCTTATTATAATATTACTCATATTCGTACCATGCCAAATATATCAACCAAGTAATGTATTATTGGTAAAGTGACTGAAAGAACGAATAATTTCCCAAAATCGTCTATTCCTTACTAAAAATAGGAAAGAAATAACGCTATACGAACTGTACAATGCGTAGTAAATCGTAGTATAATGTTAAAGTGCTTAATATTATTTACATTCAGAAAATTTAACTGCCAAAAAAAGAAAAGTATATATATAATAATGAAATGTACTAAAATGACGTCGTTTTCAATTATTTTTCCGCATTTTCACGAAAAAAAAAATAAATAAAATAAGCTGAGTCTTGATTGTCACGTTGTGAATTCGGAATTATAGTCTAGTGTCAACTGTTAGTGTCGCCAAGGAGCATACAGATGTCGCTGTCATAATTTTACGAAATCAACATCGCGTATTTTAATTTAACGAGAAATTATTTCATATGTACTAATAACTAAAAAATAAACAAAATATTGAAGAGATATACATAAATAAATAAATTCAACTTAACTTTTAATCATTACAAATCAATATTTAGACAATGAATTTGAAAATAATATTGTTTCCATTGCATCAGTGTAACTATTTTAAGATTGCTAAATTTGACATAAGAGCAATATTACTTTAATGTTAAAGTCGCGTCATAGTACGAACTGAGTGAATGAATACTCACAAAGCTGCCAATAAAACATCATAGTTTTAACATTATAAAAAGCTTACTTTAAGTGCGTCATAGTACGAAAAGTCAATGTAAGGTTAAAGTATTATTGTTTTAAGAGGTTGTGGTGGACCCCCTGTGTAATTTAAAAGTTTGACTAACCGGTATTGGCGCGTGGTTCGCGGTTAGAGCAGCTCGTACTGTCGGAGATGCATGCGCTGTATGATGTCGCGGCAGTCGTTGAAGACGCGCTTGATGTTCTCCGTGTCGACCGCACAGGTGAAGTGCGGGTAGCAATAGTGCTTGCCGTCTCCGCTCGCTGTGCTTATGCGCTGAGAACATAATTTATAGGATTATAAAGGCAGGACCAACATGACTAATAATGTAATAATAATAATGTGCCAAACAATCATACCAATTTAGTTATTAGTTGTTATTATTATTAATTTCCCAAATTGGTCCTACCGGGAATCGAACCCGGGATCTCTTCATAAAGTGCAAACCGTAGGGCGAGGTCGTAAGATTATAGAATATCAGCGAGTGATAGTCCAGTTTCATAAGACCATTGTACATGAAAATAAAGCTTGTTTTATTTTATATTAATTTCAATTTAATTTAGCAGCAACGCGAATATATTTTTGACGCTCACAAACTGGGGAAAGTCACACTTTGTAGATATAAGGACCCCTCCTACGTAAAGTAACGTATATCGAAATTGCCAAGTTTACAGGGGAGCGTTTTAAAGTTTTAAAGGTTCCAAACCGCATAGCTGGCCCCTCCCATAAGACTACTTGCTTTTATAGGAATTGCTATAACATGTCCATACAAATATATAATGCTTTGCCTGCAGCTATCGCAGATTTACCTATAAAAATATTTAAAAAAAAGTTATATGATTTGCTATGTGATCTGTGTTTATGCGATATCAAAGATTTTTTAATAATAAAAAGAAATTGACATTTTGTTTATATTTGTGCTGTTCTTACTTCTGATATTGTTTTAATTTATGATTTTATTGTTGTCGCTATTTATTGGCATTTCTACTTAATTTTATATGACATTTTAACTTCAATTTATTTTAATATTTGCGTGCCAGTATCTGGTGCAACACGTGTTCTTGACACCTTGTATAATAATATTTCTTACCGTGTTTGCTTGCGAATAAATATTTCATTTCATTTCATTTGACTTCACTGAATAATCATAAACACGTGCCTTTAGCATTTCTCAGTTTTATTCGCCGAAGCACTTTAAAACTCGTTCTCGAATAAAACTGAGAAATGCTAAATTCACGTGTTGAACTCATTTCAGCGAATTCAGAAGTTTAAAACGTTCTCCTGTAAACTTGGCAATTTCGACATACGATACTTTACATTTGAGAGTAATTTTTTTCTATAAAATTATATTCCATTCACTAGTATTTTTGACGTTCTCCTGCACTTTTTTCTTTTTAGATTTGCCTGTAAATTTCAATATGATTCCCCTGTCCGCTGTAAATGTTTCATAATTGTTCCCCTGTCAACGTACCAGGAACTCATCGCGTATAAAGTACTTGGCGCGCGCGACCTCGGGATGGTCCCTCGTGTCAGGCGGGGCATCAGGCGGCGTGGTGTAGCGCGCGTACTCCGCGAAATACTCCTCCAGCCGTGATTTTCCTGCTAACACCTTCTCGGCCAGCAGGTCTTGCTTGTTCAGGAAAAGGATCACTGATATCGTGCGGAGCCATCTGGAATTGATAAAACGTATAAATCCACTTTCTTAAGCGGTGAATGTAAACATCGCGATCTGTTTATTTTTAACCGACTTCAAAAAGGAAGAGGTTCTCAATTCTCAGTGCCCGCGCCTATCGCGAACGTCGTAGGGTCTATATAAGCGGGCCACTTCAGGCCCCGCTCCCTTTTCCGTGCGCTGCGCCCTACTGATCAGTCGACTATTTGTAACATTTTATATTCACTTAAACCTACGTTTGTACAATACGTAATTGTCGCATTATAAATCTTCATTTTGTACCTAACTGTGTTCTTCATTCCGCAACCCTTAAAAATATGTCCTCAGTAAGCAAGGCACCGGACACTCAGTGATTATTTGTGAACCGATTTTAATGATTCTTTTTTGTTGGAAAGAGGGAGGATACCTCAGTGTTGGTTCCATTTAAATTTCATATTTACAATATTCCACCTCTAAGGGTGGCAAACTAAGGGATGAATACAGTTTCGCGCACTTTCAATTAACCGATTTCAATAAAATGTGCCAAATAGATTTAATTCCAAGCAATCTTTTAAAGTCTTTCTTTTTTTAAATAAAAAGCTTATAATTATTCATCGTATTAATATTATGCCTACCTTCATGAAAGAGTTAGGGCGCCTTCAAATTAGACGCTTATAGAAACGTTGCAGTGGCACTAATGTGGCGCTGCAGCCGCGTTACTACCAATTTTTGTACAATATTTAGAAGCGCAGCTGCAACGCCACGCGCCTCTTTTGCAGACTAGATATTGTATGAAAGACGCAGAAGCGCTATTGCAGCACTTCTATAAGCACTTAACTTGAAGGCGCCCTTACCATTCTACTTAAGAGTCTATACAATCTCAAATCGCAACCCTCATGGAAGAATGGCATTAGTGGAGTTACGTCAGAAACGTTTATTGCTCAATTAGATACAGAAAAATATAACCCAAACCCTCTCCAATTATCCATCCATCTTTCTTGTAACTCGATCGACTAATGTTGTAGATAGAGTTACAAGAGTTGGAGAGGATGTGCGTTATATTTTGCTGTATTTAATGGAGCAAATAAAAATTTTTGACGTAACTCCACTTATGCTATTTTTTCATGATGGGTGCGAAATGGTTTTAGTTGATTCGGCATAACAGTTAAACTGTTGAATATACACTGTTATTTTTCACACCGTATAGTATTACGGTGGGAAAACACTATTCCAAAAAAATTGCACGATAGAATTGTTATACAAAGTTAGTAGTATTTTACAAGAAAACCGCTGTATACAATACGTACTCTACATATACCAATATATTTTTTGAACTAAATCAAAAACGTATATGATAAACATTTTTCGAAAAGCTTTAATATCGTTTGTAAAAAAAATAAAAAATAAAGCCGCTCGACTGAAGCAAAATTAACCGTATTAGTACGGGAGAACTTAATTCGAGTTGAGGTACTTATAGACTTTTAACATAATGTAATGAGACGCCAATATAAGAATGTTAATTTCTTTAAATTTATTCCCTACTCATTCACTCTGAAGCCTAGCTTGTACATTGCTCTAACAGCACATTTCTGCGAAACTAATTTTTTTAACAGCGTATGAAATCCACTTGTGGACATAAAGCTGGGAGCTGGTTTGTATAATAATAATAATATGTCACTCTTGCGCTGATAACTCGCGTCCATATGCTACGTGAGTCAATCAAAACAGTACACGAAACAAAGGTTTCGTCGATCGATCGATCTGCTTCACTTGCTTCTTAGAGCAGATCGATTGGGTAGGAAAATAACCTTGAACATGAGGACGGGTATTACTTTTGTGATGTACCTGTTATTCCATATACTCTTAAAGAGGTCAAGCGACTCCCGGAGGCGGTTCTGCGTGGGATCCTCGCGAAGGACCATGTTGTAGGAAGAACAGGCGGTCACAAAGATGATGGCCGTCACGTCGTTGAAGCACTGGATCCATTTGCGCCGCTCGTCACGCTGACCGCCTACGTCGAACATGCTGGAATTCGTAATACAAAAAATAATATATATGTTTTTAATGGAAAATAAACGCACGCATGGTCACAATCTCCCTTGTTAAAGTACTTTTCCAAAGTTTTTTTTTTTCATGAAACCGACGTCATAAAAATAATTAATCATGGAGTCTTAGGTTGGCCAAAGGAAAATTAAAATACTGCGACAATTAAATTAAACGCAAGAAGCGATGTGGCGCTACACTGTCGCTGTAGGCGCGCCATTACAAGTTTGCATACAATATTTAGAAGCGCTGTTGCAGCGCCACTGTCATGACACGCGCGCGCCACTTTTGCAGTCACAATTAGTGAACTAAAAGTAACTGAACCGCTACAGACTTACTGCGCCGACAAAAGCGCTTCGACAAGCTTTAAAATTGAAGACTCCTAAAGAATTTTATTTAAAAGATGACCAACGCCATCTAGCGGTACAAACGAAAGTAAAGTATTATATTTTCATATGAGATTGGCTAACTTGTCTACGAGTTTAAAGTGATTTTTACAACAACAGACTCACTGGAAATTGACTTTATCAACGACGAACTGCGTCTCGAAGATGCCGGAGGTGAGCACTCGGCAGCGCAGAATGTCTTGTTCCGTAGGCGTATAGTTGGGCAGCTTTATCACGTTCACCTTGTCCAGGAAACTGAACAACAAATCAATACATTATTATTTTTTTAATATTATTCTTAGCTTAGTGAGCAGTTCGTTTGGCTGTGGGTTCGTAATCAAAGGAAAACATTGACAATTTTATGTATGTGAAGTTTCCAATCCGCATTCAGCGGGTCCGCGTGGGAACTACAGCCCAAGGACTGCCATTGTGAGAGAAGGTCTGTGCTCAACAGTGGGACTATATATATATACAAAGGACAAAATATTCCCGAAAAGATAAAGGGAAACATCGTGAGGAAACCTACACGTCGCAGAAGGTTTACAGTCCTCGGAAAACGGACGAACCCAATCTACATTGGACCAGCGTGGCGAATTATAGCCTAAACCCTGGTCTGAGAGGAGACACGTGCCCAGCAGTAGGACGTACAAATGGGTTGATGATGAGCAGTTCGATTTGTAAATCTAAATAGCGGGTATTGGATAGCAGGTACAGTGGGTAGCGGATATCCATAGTCAGTCTTTTTGAAGATGGAGTAAAATGATTGCGCAAGTGTTACCCACTTGCAAGCAGCTAGTGATTGCAGTCGACAAATATTCTATCGACTATCGACTTAATGTTAGTAATGTTTATGCTATATTATTAGCTGAACTTATTCCACTTCCATGAACCGTATCAAACGGTTCCTAAAGTCTAATCTCTTAGATCACAAAAAAAATCTCTGGAGTTACATGACAATATAAGTTTTGAAAATAAAACAAGAGTGAGAAACACTTTTCAACTTCAAACTGCCATACCTCGAAAGTGACTGATTGTAAATTGGATCCTTTTTGTTTAATTTTGTTTTATTGGATCCTTTTTGTAGAGGTGCAGAGACGTGCCAATGCCGCCCTCGAGTATGTTCGGGAGTGGGGTGACCCTAACAAACTCAGAATTGCTAATTAAGGCAATAACGCAATAAGTAATCATTAGAACGTCAGAACATGCACAATTTAGGCACTTTTGTCAAAATTTCTCCTTCTTACACAATCTATCGATAAAACTGTCGACAACAACTACATGACTATTTAATATTTTACGAAAACTGGCATCTCTGCAAATGTCATTTCACTCTGTATTAAAAAACGACAGACTATATTATATCTGTTATAATCTATACGCGCTACTCGCTATACTGAGATAAGATACTGACTACTTGGCACAGTCAATGAGCTGGTACTCGTTGCTTCGCTCGTAGGTGCGCTGCACGCCCAGATCCTTCCACAGTTCCTCCGTGTGCTCGTAGAACTCAGGCGGGTAGTCGAAATCCGGCTGAGACGCTACATCCTGGAATGTAATGATATTTATATAAGTTAGTTGAAAATAGCAGACATAAGATCGTCAAGGCGTAGCCGAGCATTCGCAAAAGAAATTGATAACACTTTCTAAACCTTCGGGTCCAGTCAAAACACACTTAATAGAGTAAGCAGTAGAGCTCCTTGTGAAAGAGTTCGTTCAGGGAAGTACTGCCACCTTACCTATTTCAGCCATCAAGCAATAATATGAGCATAACTGTGTTCCGGTTTCAAAGGGTAAGGGTGCTGGTGTAATTACAGGCACATGGTACTTGTCAACTTATGTCTCAGGGCGACGAGCGCAGTGGCAGTGCCCCTAAGATCTTTGCGATTAAAAGCCCTGAGTGGCACTGCAACTGTTATGGGTTGGCGTGTCGCTTACCACCAGACGCACGACTTGTTCGTCCCGTCGCTTGGTATTATAAAAAACAACACTTATATGGCTATGGATTGGAATTCCCTGCCTGTAGGTTTATTCCTAGACCACTATCGCTTGAGAGAGTGAATATATTTTTTAGGTGTGCATGCTCCATCATCGATCTCATCGTCACTTTCCGTCAAGTGAGATGAAGGTCAAATGCGCCCTAACATTTTTATAAAAAAAAACCATACACGACAGCGAACATTTCGAATTCATATTTAATTACGCTTCGTACAAATATGAGTTACAACAGTCGCGTTAAATATTTATAAGGTAAAGTTAGTTCTTCTTGCGGCCGCTGTACAAAATGTATTTAACAAATATTTTATAAGGTCATTAGGAACTGTTAATGGTGTACACTATAAGTTTTTAAAGGTTGGCCACAACCTGCCTAAATGGGTTCCCCTCTCGTGGATCCCCATTAACGTCTCTAACTAATATTTGCCTTGCTGATAAGGACCACTTATAGGTAAGTATGGATCCCTGGGGGTTTTCATAATATAGAGTATCTGTAGATGTCGCATCCTCTACGTACGTTATGACAACGGTATATAATTGTAATGTTATGGACCATGATGTTTATTACCTGAATATAATCGACGCGCGCCTTGTTTTCGGGTTTCTCCAGCGGTATGGGCGGCGTGAGAGTGCTCATTGCACCCGTGATTGTCTGTAACACGAGAGATATATTTTGATTTCGTCATTTATCACACAACTGATATCTGTCTATGATATGGCTCTTAGCCAACACTATATTTTTGAAAAATATTATATACTAATCAATTTATTAGTTGTGATTTATATAAAATAAACACTATTATTATTATTATTGTTTCAAAATTTAATATGAACATCGAAGTCTTTCTAGACAGAAATTAATCTCCCTCACCACTACTCATTTCCAACTCAGAGCGCCGGCCCATTGGGCCATTAGTGGCGGCCACTAAATGCGACCACAAGTTACAGGCGAGATTTTTTATACATTTTATCAGCGCAAACTGAGCGCCGGAATGCGTCACTCGCCTCCCGCGCACATTCGGCCACAGACTTCTTCCCCGCTCGCCATTGTTGTCGTTTTAGCGACTAAAGCGAGAAACATGGACGACAATACATCACGCCCGGGTGTGTGTGCCCGTCCCGCGCCCGCGCGTGGTGTTTTATCGTCAATAGAAATATACACGGAATTAGACCCGCCGTGCTCCCGACTCATTATTATTGTTGTAATTTTTAAGGCACTAAAAGTGTTTAGTATACTCACAAGTATGGCGTCTCTTATATTCTTCTTAATGTCTTCGATCTTCTCGCGGCGCTCCTTGTCGGAGAAACCGTTGACGTGCAATATGCGCATTTGCTTCACAATCGTCGACTTGCCCGACTCGCCTGCCCCCAGGAGTAGTAGGCGGTGCGTTGCTCGGTACAACTGGAAGTAAAATACGGTTTCTTAGTGCTAATTGGTTATGTTCAGTATATTATACAGCTAAGAGTAAAAATGGCTTCTCACGGCCTGTGATTCGTACGGGCGAGGTCGTGCCACAGGCCCATACATACGAGCCTAGCCGACACTCTTCCCATGGCGCGTTGGCGCGAGCTTGCGCGGCACAGCATGTGAAACCACGGTCCATGGGAAGCCAGCATGAGAATAGATGCATATCAAGCAATTGACGGATCTTATTAAATTGTTCTGAAGGTGATATTCGAACAAAAGTGTATACTTTGACGGGCTGTTGACTGTAACTATGAATTTGTCCCTATTTACAAGAGACTGCGGGCTCTACGGTAAGACCAGGGTACGGCGGGCGTCCGGCTCTAGCCTTCCGCCAGTGATACGCCTTCACGGGCGTCTCTGGTGGACTTGGACTTAGGTACGTGGTTAGCTGTAGGTATGAACACGTTCATCTGCCTCGGTAGCATGTGGCCGGGGCGTTCATCCCGCGCGCATCTAGCGCGTCTTAGTAGCAGTCTAGACGAGGGCTTAAGGCGAGGAGACGCGCGGGACACGTGAGTTGCTCTTTAAGTTGGAAGCTGTGTCCGGACATTGTCGCAGGATACTGCAACGACATCTTTGGTACAAGCCCGGAGAGCTAGTAGAGGATGAGCTAGACATTCTCCGTTCCCTCCAGGCGCGTAGGTTTCTGGGAACTGAAAAGACGCTTCGGCGTCGGGAGGTGAGCGTGCCTACAGTTCCACCACTAAAGAGAAGATTTGGTAGTAGATTTTAGAGTCGATGGCTTAGCGGTGGCAACCGTTGCGCAACGGGAAGTTAGCATACCTACAGCTCCTGTAGATATACGGAAAATAGGAAGGGTGTTGTGCGTGCGTGCACCAGGGGCAGCTCACCGAAGCCACTAGTCTTTTGAGAATCGGATAAAGTCTGTGCAAACGGGCTGACCGGACTGTGAAGGTCCCTGTGCTTGCACAGGTTACAGTGCCCTTCTCGTATACCCTAAGGGTCGGTAAGGAGGGTCACTACAGTCAAAACTTATGTAGAAAGGAACGGGGTTATACCTATGAATTTCATTTCTAAGTTACTTGATTGAATTATAACAGCAACTACAATCGGCTCCTGCATTCGAGAACGGAACACTAAGAAATAAAACCAGAGAAATTAGATATTATCAAGTGTTACTTAGTCGTTGATGTGTTGCTCGCTTTTGTAACGATTGTGTAATTTTAATAATATATATATAATATATAATAATAATAATAACGCACACACTCAACATAGCCCCGCACTAGGGAAATCCTGTGTCGCGGGTGCTATGGACACACACATAGACAACCACAAATTACACCCAAACTCACGAGAGAAATAAATGTAGGCCATATAAATATTTCTCCCGGCCCGGGAATCGAACCTGGGACCTCTGCGTGGCAGTCCGGCATGGTAACCGTTCGGCCACGGAGGCAGTAAAAATATTATGGACTTTGAATACTATTACGACTATTGCAAGGTACGTGATCCCAAATTTTTGGGATCTCGGGATGTCTAGGGGTTTCAGGAGCTGGTTACGCGACAAGTATTACAGAATTCTTAGTAGCCGTTAATCTTGGTGTACGGTTGGCCAATACTGCCAAAATAATAAAAAGAAACAAATTAGCGAACCTGTTTGTCCTTTTGCAGCTGCCGCGTGATGGCATCGCTGCGGCGTTTTTGCGTTTTGAGGTCGTCGCCATCGCCGCCGCTCTTGCCGCCCGGAGAGCCGAAGCAACCCATCGCCGACCACGCCGCCCACCTGTAAATGATAGGAAACCAGGTTTATCGCTGCAGATTTGGACTTACCAAAGAAACACGTGCCATTTTCGTGAACATATTGCTATCATCAGGTTTAAGTCTAACTAAATTACGACACATTGACGCCAGTAGCGGCACGATTTGAAATGAAACTATTAATTAGTAACAATATTACAAATTACAAGTAAGAGTTTATGTCATTAACACATTACATTACACATTAAAAAAAAAACATAATTAAATAAACATCATGATATTATTTAGTTTCAGGAAATTAGAAGCAGTAGAGCTCCTTGTGAATGAGTTCGTCCAAGGAAGTACTGCCACTGTACCTATTTCTGCTGCCAAGCAGTAATGTCAGCATTACTGTGTTTCGATTTTGAAGGGTAAGGGTGATGGTTAGTGACGAAAGAGACTCAGTCTTTTAAGGCCTTTTAAAAAACCTCGACTGATTTTCAACGCTTCACCACTAGTCTAGTCTTTTAACCCTCAAGTCTTGAGTCATAAGACTAAAACTAAAGACTAATTAGATTCGAAGTCTTTTAACGCTAGGAAGCTTAAAAGACCTATAGGACTAAAACAAAGAAAAAGACTAAAACGACTAAAAGGACTGGCGCCTCATAGCTTCGGGAGTCACGAGTGAGCCGTATGGCGTGATTTTATTTCTACCCACAAGTTATTTATTTTATGATTTTTATTATAAGTAAATAAACGTGATTATTTACTACATACTACTTACGTGATTTTTATTTATAAACTTCGGGTTTAATAATACATAAAATAGGTATAAGTCTTTTGCAAACAACTCGAGTCGTTTGAGTCTTTCAAGTCGTTTAAGTTTTTTGACTCTTAGTATAACGACTGAGTCTTATTAATAAAATCTCGAACCCCCAGTCTTAATTTTAGAGTCGAGTCCTGTAAAATGGAGTCGAGTCGTTATAAAACGCCTTAAAAGACTGAGTCTCTATCATCACTAGTGCTGGTGAAATTCCAGGCACATGAGACTTGTTAACTTATGTTTCAGGTTGACGGACGCAGTGGCAAGCTCTGAGTGGCACTGCAACTGTTATGGACAAGCGTGCAACTTACCATCAGGCGCACGACTTGTTCGTCCCTTCACTTGATATTATAAAAAAAAAAGAAAAAGAAGCTCTTTAATGTCATAAAATTGCTTTACTAGTAGCCACCTCTTTAATCTTAAAGTAAACCGGTGAACTGGTTTGTTCACAGCATCACACAGCTGGCGCATTGAGACGCGATAGTTGTACCAACATATCCATATAAGAGAATGCAAAGCGTTGTGTCGCAAAGACAATTATTCAAGAACCACTTAAAGGTGTTAGAATTTAGTATAAAGACTACATCAAGTAATCATATATTCCACAGGGCAAATTTTTACACCTGAAAACGTCATTATTTAAGCTACTGCTCGTTCACTGCTAACTTCCCTGAGAAAAACGAGCAAGAAACTCTAGGGATTGCTTTTTTCAAATAAACTTAAATACTATGGAATACACTTTAAATCATATTTGTGTATGGAATCTAGACTCATGTCGTCCCATACATCATTCGAACACGTAGTCTTCAATTTTGTAACATAACTCGGTTAATGATATTGCTGGTTAGAAAACGACTGATAAAGATTGTACATCTTGGAGTATTGAATTGTATGGTAGTGCGGCATGAACAATGGTAGGAGACAGAGACGTTAGAAAGCATTTGAAATGTAGTGCTGGAGAAGAATGGAGGGAATTCCTTGGGCGGAAAGAGAAACCGATAAGGAGGGATCAAGAATAGTGCAAAAAAGAGAAGATTATTAAAGACATTAGAGTTTATATAATTTGTATAATGTAATATAAATTGTTTGTATATGTACGTAGTCCTGCAATAAACGGGCTAGCGAACTGACGTCTCTAATTTACCTCACCTATACCGAATATCACATTGGCGAACGAGGTTAGAAACGGTGAATTTGTGCGTGGTTAAATTGTCGACTCTCTGGGGATAATTGCACAATTTTGTATTTGTAATGTCTTTCGGAAAAGTGAACGACTCTGATTTGAAGGGAGGGATGTGGTCTTCTTATGTTGATCGCTTAGAAATGTATTTCACTGTGAATGACGTGAGGTTAAAATTATCAACGTTGATTGCGGTAATAGATGAGACATATGAACTTTTAGTGAACTTGGCCAGTCCTATTAAACCGCCAGATTTACAATACAAAAAGGCGGTAGACCTTTTGCGGGAACATTTACAACCAGCTCCGTCAACGCTGGCCGAACGTTACCGATTCAGACTGTGGAGACAGGGACCGGAAGAGAACGTCGCCAGTTATACTGCGGAATTAAAGAAACTTTGAATCATGAATTTGTAAACAGTTGAACTCTCAATTTGTGTTTATATCCAATGGTAGCATTTCTCAAGTAGTTTGTACCACGGTCTGGACTGGAATATTGTTAATTTAATGATTCGTTTTTAAATTGCAATTCGTTTTTAAATGCATGCAAGTGACAATTGCCTTAAATCTTCTTCTTATCGTGTCGATACTTCTTTTATTTTAAGGGCTATATGGACCTTGAATAGTACGTCGCTACCTTGACTGCTGCGCTGTGCGTGGCCGCGTAGAGATCTTCCTTCGTATAGGTATTAGGACACAAGGGGCGCAACAGCAAGTGCTGCATGGACTGTGTAGGGGCACCGCAGTCACATTGGGTTGGACTAGTATCCCTGAAAACCCATTTACACACAGTGTCTCTGCAGCGTCCTACCTGAGTGCGAAGTGGGGGGGTTTTTTCGTTTCCACAATGCCCACCTAGTGACTGTTGTACGGTCACTCGTAGCCTTTGTGGTGCACACGAAACTTTTATGGATTTTGAGGCGAGCTCGGGGAATTTGGTGGCCATATAAAGGGTGTCGACTGTTACTCTCTTATTTGTGCTTCTCCGCGGAGCATGTTACATCCCGACGCACACATGGTGGTGCAATACCTGCTAGAGGATATACCATATTGAGGGGAGTTGGCTTGAGACAGCCGGTGTCTCAGTTGTCTTAATGAGATTGAGTATCTTTGAAGTCATAGAGAACCGACGGGGAAAGATGTTTGGGCACCTGAAATGTCATGGCAGCTTTCTTAGTAACATTATAGAAGATAAAGGAAAGAGAGGCAGTGGATGACAGAGACGAAGTTATTTAGATCAGATAGGGCGGTGAACTGTGATGGTTGGCGATTATTTCACCGACAAGAATCTCTGAAATAAGAAGCTGGGTAATGACCACTGACCGGAAATGAGTTGAATCTACCTAAAGTATGAACGGTTTCTTAATATGGACATACCCATTTCGTTATCAATGCGTTTAAAATTTCTCTTTTTACTGTTTATTATCTAAACATTCCCAAAAGTAGGTTGTCTCATGTTCATTTTTTAAAAGGCTAAAGTATTTAAATAGGTAAGTGCCATGGAAACACAAATACAATATTATTTTTTGAGACAATAATTTGTAGTAAATGTACAAAATGTACTCAAATTTCAATAAATAATATGCATACCTATTCAAATATAATCAATCAGTTCCGAGAAGTTTCGTGACTTGTAGAAGGGAATGTCCACGGTATTCTTTATTTTATCTAAATTAACTCCCTCAATTCCTAGCACTGGTAATGAGAGAACGTTTAATATTGCAATTCATATAATTTACAAGATATATACACAACAAGGGGACGTAAAGGTTTCCGTCTATATACAAATAATTCCACTTAAAATTTATTAAATCTTTAAAAATAAATCATTCACACAAACAATTTCTACGGTCGTTAATTTAACCATGACAGAATCCGATGAGTATCCGAAATACCTCGTTGAGTGTTGGTTGAATGACAATAACACATATCTCGTGCGTCGGTGTCCGCCTGCCGAGGTACAGTGAGACAATATGGTCGACCTCACCGGCCAGACGGCCATTCTTAGCGATGCTTTAGGGTTGGCAAAAGCCAATGTAACAATTTTAGGTTAAATTTACATTGCCACGAGATGCAAGCGCATTTTTGTAACGAAATTGTACATAGCATAATGTTAATGTAAATTCCAATTGCGCGAGCAGACCGTGGGCCGAGTTAACACAAATAATAAGCAGGAGGTAGATAGTCGGCACCCTTTATTCGGCCACAAGCTCCCACCTATACAACTATCAAGCCGTAAGAGCTTCCTTCGACATACTACCGCTATATAAGATAGCCCAGCGGACGCGAGGTGCAAACTTTGGCAAGCCAAATTCGCTGCTCCTCATTATTTTATTACCCTAGTCGAAAGTCTTCCCCCAGAGTACGAGTTGCAGTGAGCGGTATGCAAGTCCCCGAATCGTCTCAGATCACAAGTTGTCCGATGTAGAGACAAACGTGGTGAAATAGGGATATATCAATCCGAATCAAAACCATTGTGCCCTTGGATCCCCCACACAAAGCATGTCTCACTTGCTCTCATGCCCACTGTGTCCGACCAGCTGCACCCGCGAAGACCTACTAAAGGCAACAGATAGGGGCTGCTTATTGGGCCAAAGAAATATAACACAAGATCTGTACTAACTTTTCTGTCATTGTGACTCGACAAGAAGAAGATAAGCATTGACCAAAAATGTTATTTACACCTGCAATCACTGGTTGCCTAGTAACGTTTTGTTATTAAACATTCCATATCGAATTAGGCTAGAGTATAGACACGATACGGTAGCTGCGGGAATTCCCTAGACTGCGCGAATTCCCGAGACGCGCGACCTGTCTTTTTTGGCTCGTATTTAATTTGTACTTTACAAAAATCCGCTGCCATAACGTTCCGCGGCAAAATAAATTGAGCCTTATTATAAATCGCCCTTCATTAACCAACCAACACCGGCAGTCACTTCTAGAGGGCCATTACTTTGCAAACCAAACTTTGTTCGAATGTTTGTTTTATTATTATACAATCGCGATAAAAAGACTGGACCTTGATTAAGTTGAAATATTGTGAA